CCTCTTGCGTTTCGCAGAGGGCTGATTTGTAACTTGATCAATGTGGCAATTGCTTCCTCTCCTTCCAAGCCACTTGGCCTTTTCATTAGCTTCAATTTCAATTTGCTTTTGCTATTTGCAATTTGCGCACCAAACTCTGTTTCGTTTCTGTTTCTATTTTCCAGCCATTTTTGCCACGGCTCGGGCCGAGAAAAAACTTGTTTATGGCTCCTACAAGAATGTGGAAAGCAAGAAAACGAAACGAAACGAAACGAAAAAAAGAAATATACAAAACTGGGTTAAAATTGTTAGACAACCTGAAGTTGCAGTTGCCGTTTCTGAAATATTGCATAGGTATGGGGTCTGCTATCGAGTCTGGTCTCTAGGCAATGGCCTCGCCAATCTGCAAACTCCAAACCCCTTGAAGTGTGTTCGGATTGCAGCAGGCACACATCGAGTGCTAAATAGAATGTATTGGCATGTTTGCTGGATATGGGAAGATACCCACTAAGACCGGTGCACTTAAAACGAATGTAAAAATCATAAATTGTTGTATATTGAGAGTGTTGAAATGAGGTCCTTCAAAACAAATAACTGATGGCTTAACTAAATTAATCTAAAAATTATATAAAAAAAAATGTACAAATGGCAACGATTTAAAAGTAATTATTTTCAAATACTCTTTGTTCTGGAAAAAAAGTTAATTTGCTTCTTATTCTCAAGTTTATAAGGTAATATTACCAAGAACTAACTTAAAAAAATTCTTTAAAATTTTTTTTAATAATTTGATGACTAGTATGCTAAAGCACAACATTTTTTTATAGGTTATAAACAATGTATATTTGTCATTTTTTAAGGACCAACGAATAGGTAACGGTTATCAAAAATTAATATTTAACTGTATTACATGTTGCCACTTATTCAAAAGTATTTATAACGAATTAATGATTTAAAAAGTTATTTAATAAGAAAAAAAATCTAAAGTATGAATTTTTTGTTTATAAAGAGTTGAGATTTCGATTATAACCTTATGGCAAACATGCACCCTAAGCCTTCAACTGCTGAAACATTATCCCTTAAAATGTGGCTCTGCATTTTGGGCTCGTTTGCATTAACTTTTGTGTTTGTTTCGGTGCCACTGCACTTGCGCAAAGCCCCCAAGCTCTGAAGCCCTACAACAGTTAACCGAAACTCGTCTTGGGTATGGTCAGTAATGAAATAAAGCCGAACTGAGCCAAGCCAAAGCAAGCCAAGTAAGCCAAGTGAGCCAAGTGAGCCAACTATTGGCGGCTACTTAGTATGCCCGGGCCGAGTTCGACACTCACTCTCAGAAGGCTGAAAAGGTGCAACAAAACGCAACGCTCGGTTTCAATTGGGTTGTTGTTGGCTTATTAATTACCTCACCGCACAATTGCGTGGCACATACAATACAAACACCCACCAGAAGGATGGGGATCGGGGGCCTTTTGCCGCTTTTGTAGAACCCACAAAAGGCGTTGGACGGTGGCGGGTAATACGAGTAACGACTTTTTTGTGGCCCGTAAATGGAGCCCGGCTGATGAAGTCAACAGCCCCAACCAGTTTGAAGTTTAATTTAGCATTATCTCTCGCTACTTACTTTATATTTTATTCAAATAGTATTTTGATTGGCTGCGTGGCTTTCCATAAACAAATGAAGAGCCCGAGAAAATTGAGAGTGACTTTGTCCATTTGCAAACTCGTTTTTGCATACTTCTCTGCCGTTTGCTGTTGGTTACTTTCAAATGTCAAACGAAGTTGAAGGTGGTCCACAATGATATTTGATTTTTTCCTATCCTACTCGCATTTTATATGATTTATTTTGAGTCATGTTGAAAACGAACAAGGCGCCTTGAGAAAACAAAAGACTTGAGCAAAAAACTTGTTTATGCCATTTTTATAGAAATTCAATTCTATAGTAGATATGGGAAATTAAGTGCCCACATTTCTTATTACTCATATGTTATGTGCTTAACATAAATTAATTCTGTAAATTAAGACACAAATGAATTTAACGCAAATGACTGAAACCAAAAACTGGTTTTAGCACTTAAAATTACGACTATTTATTAAACATTAATTTCTCAAACTGAGATACAAGTATGTTTTCAACAAAATATCGCTGAAGAAGAAAAATCATAAAGATAGAGGCACATTTAAATTAATAGAGGATACACAGTGAAAACTACGCAACATGTTCCCCACAACCCAGACAAAATGCATATTAAAAACACATTAAAATTGTCTGCATTAACCATTTATCATACCTTCACTTGCAATTCAATTACATTCAATTCACGATGCGCAGAAAATCCGCAGATGGCAAACAATTCCAAAAGCGATTCCAAAAAGTCATAAGCAAAATCGTGGCCGGCTCGGGTGAAACTTAATGAAGCCTGAGAAAGTTGCACAAGGCTCAGGTGACAATCATTAAAATAAAGCAACAAATGGTTGGCTAACTAACAAAATACAATAACCACAAACCAACTGAAAAAAATGCGATAATTGCTAACAAATTTGTACGACAAGCGCATGCCAAACATGCAACATACAAAAGCCACAACGCATTTGAAGAGTGGCTGTCTGGCTGAGGACTAGCTAATTGAAATTTAATTTATTTTTGGTCAGGTTTTAAGAACGCTTTAAGCCACGACTTATATTGCCGCCTTTCCACCTGAACTTCTGGTTTTAGCTCAGTTGGCTTGCTGCATCTTCTCGACTTTTGCAAATGACCCAGTTTATTGCAAGTGGAACGCTCTGACCAACAACTGCAATACGGCAACAGCTCTTGACCATAAAAAGCCAGGCGTAGATCTCTAGACAGCTCAAAGAGAAATAAAATCGGAGAGGTTCAGTTAAGTTGTTAGTTATAAATTAATATCGAAGCCTTAACACCCTTGAACATAAACGTTTTAAGTTGAACAGGAAAAGTTTCTGTGATATTGAGAATGGGTCCTCAACTATCCTATCTTAATAAATAAAGACCGAATGTATTGTAGTATGATTTATTGTTATAAACTTTTGCTGATTAAGTGTACTGACAAATATAGCTTTTTATTGACTAGTTAGCGATTTAAATTATCGTTTATTATAAATGTATACTAAAATAAAATAATAAACTTATTTCAAAGTTTTAAGCTCACCTTGACATACTATTTTTTTGCATAAAATGCATACAAACTCCACTGAATTGTCTATAAAATTTAACATTTAACAGCACTGTCAGTTGGTCACAAAAAACTGGTGTTAATTGTAGTTGTATTATCTTGTTGGCAAATTATTAATGATTTTGGAATTATAATTTGTTAGATTTGCTCTGAGTGTCTGGGTAAGACAAAACTCCACTTCACTCAATGAGGCACCTACTTTAGGCCTTTCTCAATGAAAGGCCCACAATGAAAGGCGACTCAAAGTCAAGTCAAGTTTCGTTCTGAGTGGAAGAGAGTTGCAAAGAGCCCCAAAAAGAGAGAAACTCGTTTCGTTCGGGATGCTGGATTGGCGTGGAAGAACTTTCTTCTCATTGATTCTAGCGGCCTGCATATAAATAAATAAATTAAAGAGACTTTCTTTCTGGCGCAGTGTGCGTGAGTCTGTGTCTGTGGCTGAGGTTGTGGCTGTGGCTTTGGTGTCATCATCTATTCAATCTTCCAAGCTAACGCCTCACTTCGTCGGCTGACCCAAATACTTGGACGCTCTTTCACCGGGGTCAGATCCCAAGTCGCAGTCGAAGTCTGGCCCTGGTTTCGTGCACCTTGTGACATTATTATACCTGGAGCTGTGGGTTGGGGTCTTTGGCTTGGCTGTTGGTTCATCAAGCGGACAGATTATAAACATCAACCCATTTACAAGTATTTCCAGTCCTCGGGCTCGACTCTTCGATTATACGCATCTTTATCGGCATCTTCATTAGTTTGACCCAATTTACTTGGGAGTTCTTTTTACTTTCTATTTTCTCTCGAACGGCTTAAGAATATTCCGTGTTGTGGGACGAACGTTTTTTATGGACCGCTTGTTAAGCTTTTGATTTGGGGAAGTCAATTTACTTTCATTTGAGGAAATCTTTTTCGGGTTTTTTCGTGTTAATATAATATGTATGGGCGTTTTCCGAAGCCACTTCCGTTGAAATGTTATGTGGAAAAAAAAACTTTTTATATAATTATTAAAATGGGCTCATGCCTTTTATATATTAGTTTTGGGAATTAAAAGGTAAATTATAAAATTAATTCGATTTAATGCTAACCACCTCGAAATTTCAACTTATTCAATTCTTTTCTCATCGAATATACCGATTGAACAAACAGAATTAACCTTTATTAACCCCAAAACCAAATGTGGTCAGCAACTTTTGATGGCTTGTAATTACGATGTGATCAGAAAAGTACGTTTTCCACATATGCGGTTTAACCTTCAATATTCTCATCAACCTTTAGCTGTATTCGAGTTCCTTTCTGGGTCGCAAAAAGATTGGCAATTTCTCTGGGCCGTAAAATTAATTTATGGGTCAAAACGTAAACCAGACCAAGAGTTATTAATCCCATAAGCGCGATATCAATCCAGAAATTTGAGTGCCCTATTAGATTTATAGCCCACCGAAGCGGGGTTTTATTTCGATTTTGGGTGAAAAGAAAGCGGATTTGATCATTTAAATAAAGGTTTGATAAAGACAAAACACGGAATCACTTTGCAGACATCAAAGTTCTGCGATTCTGCGATGTTAAAATGCTAAAACGATATTTGCCAGATTTATTGACAAATGGGTTCAGTTCGCTTTTGTGAAACTAGGTCAAGTGATGATAAAGGGCTTTCCGCTGAAGATTTGGAATATGCAAAGAAATTTTGGCTGATAAAATAGTTTGATGGACAGTTTAAGAGCGTCATTAAGCTGTTAACGTTTCGCGTGCATATACATGTGTATTTAAATATTAAGATGGATCTGTTGAGCGTGCTGGCCTATAAGAACCGTTAAATGGCCAAGGCACCGCATCAGTTTGCGTTTGCTCAGCGATTGGTTCGGTTCGATTCGCCGGGAATATGAAACTTAATCCGCCAGCATTTCTGTTCCTCCTTGCTCTCATTTCGATTTGCGATCGGAGTTGGGCCGTCTATAATTATAAGCCACCTTCCCGCGGTTATTTCTATCCGAAGCCAGCGCGATTGCCACCTCTGCCAGTCAATGGCACTACGACTACGAATGCGACTTCGACTTCGACTTCCAATTCCGGTCCACCGCCCGGAGTGCAGGCGGACTACATTGATGATCTGATTGAGGGCCATAAGCAGCAAATCTTATCGAATGTTTTGGGCGTGGCCAGCGAAACTCCTTCGGATCCGGCCTCCTCCCCGATTTCCCCCCTCGAGGGCGGTGGTGCCAAGGCGTTTCGTGTTAATCGCTGCGCCAGCTGCAGTGAGTTGGGAAAATTGTAGTGCCAATCCAAACCAGCCGGGGAACGAAACGATCCCGGCTAATCTGCGACTAATAATTGGAAATTTGAATCGGCTATTGTACGCCTATATAATGCGTTTATTATATTCAAACGTGTTTGGTGAAACGGCCTGTGAACATAGCCAACGACTTCATTTCATTAGTTTTTCGTGTAACCGAATTGAACGAGTCAATAAAACGGTTTGTTAATATGCATTAAAAAATGTGAAGCAATAAAATAACACCTTAAAGTTATGTAGGCTAAAAATAATGATAGCAAAAGCCACACTTAACATAAAGATACAATTTTTGCATCATTTTAATCACTTGGATGTTGGATATTAATTGCATAGGAAGACTTTAAACTGAGTATACAAACGTAACTAATTTAAATAAATTTTGTAGAAAAATTTGTTTATTTGCTGAAGGAAAATTCCTATTCTAAACATTTTAATAATAACTTTTATGTGTGAATATTATTATCATTTTACCAAAGCACGTTCGAATATTTTAAAAGTTAATAATTCTGGTGTAAAATCCTCCGATTGCCCCACGTTTTCGATTCCTGGCTGAGACAGTTTTTCCGCCAAAGACCACCCAGATTATAGATCCCATCGAATTCCAATTCCAATCCGTTTGCAGCCTGCGGCGTTCCCAATGTGAATCGCATTGTGGGCGGCACCCAAGTGCGGACGAATAAATATCCATGGATTGCGCAGATCATTCGCGGAACCTTCCTGTTCTGCGGTGGAACCTTGATCAACGATCGCTATGTCCTGACCGCCGCCCACTGCGTCCACGGCATGGACATGAGGGGCGTGTCCGTGCGGCTGCTGCAGCTGGACAGGAGCTCCACCCACCTGGGGGTCACCCGGTCGGTGGCCTTCGCCCATGCCCACGTGGGCTATGACCCCGTGAGCCTGGTCCACGACATAGCCCTACTGCGCCTGGACCAGCCGATCCCGCTGGTGGACACGATGCGACCCGCCTGTCTGCCCAGCAACTGGCTGCAGAACTTCGACTTCCAGAAGGCCATCGTGGCCGGATGGGGTCTCAGCCAGGAGGGCGGCTCCACTTCCAGTGTCCTGCAGGAGGTGGTGGTGCCCATCATCACCAATGCCCAGTGCCGAGCCACCTCGTACCGGTCCATGATCGTGGACACCATGCTCTGTGCGGGCTATGTCCAAACCGGAGGTCGGGATGCCTGTCAGGTGGGTTTCAAAGCGGTTAAATCGGTTCAAGTTGGAAAATCGTCCTTAAAAGTTGATATTTTCTATCGTGGCAGTGATTTTAATTCAAAAGTCTTTCAAATTTTTAACTTAATTAATAGTGAATTATAACCGTTACTCGTTGAAAAAAAGGGTATTTTGTATTCCTTGAAAAGTATGTATCAAGTAGAAGGAAGCATTAAGGCCATTTATCCTAAAATTATGACATGTTTTCCTTAATTCAAGGAATCTAGTTTTCTGAGCGTATTGATAGCAAATAATATAAATTGTATTTTAAATTAAGGACGAATTTCTGGCACAATCTGAATTTTTTGACTGAGTGTAAAAATATCAACGCCTTTTGTTTAAAATCTTTAGGGTGACAGTGGTGGTCCATTGATCGTCAGGGATCGTATTTTCCGATTGGCTGGCGTTGTGTCATTTGGCTATGGATGTGCCAAGCCCGATGCTCCTGGTGTCTATACTCGAGTCTCTCGGTACTTGGAGTGGATTGCAGTTAACACAAGGGACTCTTGCTACTGTAATAATTAATTTAGAATTATTTGAAAACTTTCTGAAAATTATTTATGTATTTATTTTTTCCCAATAAATGTTAAAGAATTTAAAGAATTTGTTTATGTACAAATTCTAAATTTTCGGATTTTGGTTTTCAAAACTATTTAAGTTGTTTTTTTACTTACATTTTTCCTAGTTCTGCAGGTTGTAAAATTGGCCATATTGCCATAAAACATAAATGAATTAATGGTTAATTAAACACAATGATTTACTACTTTTGGCGTAAACAAAATTGGTCAATGAAAAAAATTGTTCTCTTAAGGTTCTTTACAAAATATTTTCAACGGGTAATAAACTTTTTCGTTGCTGCGACGACCCACGACCATATAAAAATCCAGTTCTCTAGCTTGATCGCGGAGTTGTGTTTATTTATTTTTTTCTGGGGGAACTGGACCGTATTGGACCCACGCAACTCCCGCAATCGACAGCTGGTTTTACTTTCTTAATGCACAAGAAATACAAATTGTACAAATATTTTGTGGAAACAGGTTATGGAAACCCTAGCAGTGGCCTTTCACTTTTTGCCTCTCGAGAGTGTTTGCAGAAATCAATAAAAGTCGAAGTCAGAGTTGAAGTTTGCCGATCTGAAATCGAAGCCAAGGACGTTTTACGCCGACTTCGCCTGACACATTGTTATCACTTGTCAAGGCCCCACAGCCGCCCTTCGTTTCACGTTTCGCGTTTCGCGGGTTGACAAAACTTTTATCTTTATCCCTTTTGGCCAGGCCAGGCCGACTTGTGTCCGACAGTTGTTTAATGGATTTTCAAGTTATTTCTGGTATTTTGTTGTAGTTGCCGCTGCATGTCGCAGAAGTACAGCAAACAAAGATATCTCGGCGGAAAGAAACTCGTTTGTGGCTAGGGGCCAAAGAAAATGCCGCATAATTGCCGCCGCCACGACTCCGCAAAAAGGGGGCGGGGCACCCAGAAGGGGCTGCCTGGCCACCGAATCGACAATGTTGTCAATGCCGTCTGCTCTGGCATTTGATTTTATTTTTAACTAGACTATAATTGATGCCAGGCACTGCAAGGGTTATCGAGAAAGACGTTTGTGGAGGTGGCAGAGGGGAAATTTGTGTGGAGTTCAGGGAACAGTGTAATTTATCTTAATTAAAACGCGACATCAGAAAGAGTTGTGTAGTGATATTCATGAACTAATACAACTGCTCAGGTAATTTACATAGACAAACCTTTAGTTCGGAAATGGCATTCTTTTTCCATATTGTCAACAATACGAATCGTTAGCCGAATAATAGCTAATAAAATATTAACTTAAGAGGGACAGTTTGCTGTAACTGATAGTGAAATTAAGATTTTGATTGGAACTTTTATTTACCTTGCAGAGGGAGTTATAAGTTCAGTCAAAAGCTTTCAATCCAGTGAAGGAATATATATATTACAATATATGTATCTCTCAGCTATACAGTTACCTAAATGACATTCTCTCAAAAGTTTTATTTCTATTGCAGGTAGTATTTAAGTGGGATCGGGGCGGATGGGACGACTATATCCTATAGCTAAATTATATATTGCTCTTTGCAGAGCAACGGCCGAACAGCGGCAGAGCGCGGCAGAGGACTTCATAACCCTACAACTTCTAATATATAAGCTCGATTTTAAAAATGTTTGTGTCTTTTGACAGGTATGTCCGAAATACACACACAGATTCACGATTTGTGGGAGTAAAACTGGCTCCGTTTTAAAATAAACTTAAACTGCATAGGAACTACTAGAATCTGAGTACCAAGTCCCAAATCTTTTATAGTTTCTGAGATCTCGACGTTCATATAGACAAACAGACAGACATGGCTAGATCGACTCGGCTATTGATCCTGATCAAAAATATATATATTATGATAGCTGCCATAGGAACGGTTGAAAAATGTAGAGGAAAATATGAATAGCTTCGTTGTTCATAAAAATCGAGGTATCCAAATATAGACATTTTATAAAATATTTAATTTTTGTATAGCTGCAATGATATGCAAGTTTCGGCTTGCCGAAATAACACATTTTTATGCTTGTTATTTGTTTTAAAGTTAAGCAAAATATAGTTAATTCAAAACAAAAAATACATTGTATATTATTATATTATTTAATTACAATATTACTCAATCAAGGTAACAATAAAAAAATTCAACTCCATTTAACAGTTTTGCCTGTGAAGATACATATTTCTTAAATGTCAGTATAGCCGGTTATATAGAAATTCTTAAAAAGTTGTTATGTTATATTATAATACTACTATGCTATTTAAGAGCATTACTTTTAACTTCGCATTTTGGTTGGCTGCCTTCAATCTAAAATCATCTGTGACGATTATCTTCAATCAAGGGCCGATTGCAGCATCTTAATGGAGGTGATCGTCGATTGGAGTTCCTTTCGAATGTTCGCACATTCTGCAACCAGATCCAGGCAGTGGTACCAATGCCGGCTCGCTAATCGTAAGCTTTCAGGCACCAGACTTCCGAAGATACTTGTTAGGGGCCGGAAATATCCAAGGATCGGTTCAACTGGATGTCGCGAGATCTTCAAAGCGCTGCCCCAGTTTTTCGATACCTCGATAACACGTGTGAGTGCCTTGTAGGATCGTCCTCTAGGCAATTGGACCTCCGCAGAAGTTCGTTCAGAGCCCTGGAGCAATCTCGTCCTGGCCAGGAACAATCGAGCTCTACATGACTGCTTGTTGAGCTGCAAATGCAATAGCTCCTCGTCCTCCATAAGGTGAAACATCTGCAGATGGAGGTCATCTAAGAGACATCTGATCTCCCTGTCGGATGATCTTGCTCTCGACTCACGCTTCTCAGCCATCGATTCATCGGAAGGCACTTCGTTGTGGCTCATGATTGGGTTTTTATTTTTCGGGCTGGGTAAACCTTTTCAACCGAATTAAAAACTTCCTAATATAAAGCTTTGAAATTCGTCTGATTTGTATAGACATTGTGACAAAAATATGGAAGCAAAGCCAACGTGTTTTTAAAAAGAAAGAAATCAATACATAATAAGATGCAAATTATTAGAATGTTCAGCTTAGCTGATTTAGAAAATATTTTCATTTTTGAATAATCTATTTTAAATATTCATGGAGGCTAAGGAAAAAGTAGGTTTTAAAACAATCTTTATTACATTGATTCAATTGCAAGGTAATTACTTAGATCATAATTAGATAAGCTTATAAATTTGTCTCTGGACGTGTCTTACTAAGCATCTTTTTAGATAAGTTTCCCAGATAAAATGAACTAGTTCCCACTTACTCCACTTGAAACCAACTTGCTTGCCTTCAAATTTCTTGTATTTTTTTGTGGGTTTTGATGAATTTATCAGATTTGTTATTCTGCCTTGGGATGAAGAGGTCTTTGGAAGGGGAAGCGTCGCACCGCACGCTTCGCTGGCTAATTTAACATAATTCTCACATAAATCGCAGGCGAGTTGGGTAGAGAAATTTTCACGCCTCGCTTAACGCATTTGGCTCGCATAGCAAAAATTCACTTCTTGGCTTATTTGCCTTATTTTCTTGGCTTTTTGTTTGCCCAATACCCGCCAGTTTTGCCATATTTTTAATATAGCAAAAACAAATGTCCAAAATTGTACGAGATACACGTTTTCGCTGCATCAACGCGGCACTTTGCTGGCAAACCGCAAAACATTTTAATAAATTGCCAGTTATTAGTTTCTTGCGGAGCGGTAGGAAAAAGTGCAATTAAAATGCATTCGAAATGGGGCAGAGTGGTGAGGTGGAAAGGGGGACAAAGGAAGTTCCGCAGCAAAGAAATTAGCATAAGCATTGACTTTTTTCCAACGGGGAAGGTGGGGGCAAAAAAAACTGTTGCGCTAGTTTCCCATAATTTACCCCAACGAAGATAATGAGCAAGAAAGAGCAGCCAGGGGGGATGGTCTGGAAAACCGGGGGGAAAACCAATGGGCGGGAAACTGCGGTCAGTCGCATAGCAAATGGGTGTGAAGCTCTACTGAAAACTGGGAAAGGGGGGGCCTCTACTGCCTTCATTGTTCATCGCGGCACTTGGTTTTTGTTGCTATTATAATGGCCACCGCTTGCAATTTGCATAAATGTTTTTAATTAAATGCATTTAAAGCATATTTTTCAAACACAGCGGGCAAATTTGTTAATGAAATCGAATGAGGGGGAAATAGGAAGTGCCTTAAAGTTAGCTTATTATACTTAATATGGGAACTCGAAAGGGAAACTAGCGGTAGCAAAATAGTTGCTTTGCGAGGGGCTGCCCGATAATAAATTTAAAATGCTACTCCTAATGCGATCATTAACTTATGAGCTTTGTTCAACAAAACTGAGTTATATACTTTAAAGTGATTTTTAATTAAAATATAATAAAATATAAAAAAGAAAGCAAATGAAAAGGTTAACTGGCTTTATCTACAACTAAATTTCAAACAGTATCACATTGCTTAAAACAAAAAGTTGTTTTAAGTGTTAAATTTAAAATAGGTTATGCTATTATAAAAACACTGGTTTATAAAACGGTATTAAACAATTTAATTATTGGGCTGAACGCTTTTCATTACTTTAACGGATCCCTTTAGCAAGTGCTTAAACATGCTCGTCTCGTAACCAAATTTAAACATGCTCATTTCGTTACCAAATCCATACATTAGCTCTAAAGTTATATAATAGTAACAAAAAACCTTAATCAAGTGCCAACCCACTTATCACTCCCTTGTCACTGGAAACTAGTCGCATCCGAACTAACCATAAAATCAAGACAAAGACGGAGGCGATTAACTTGTTTCACGAACTTTCAAAATGCAACACCAAAAGAAATGAAAAGAAAACCAAAAGATCCCACAACAAACTTGCCAAAAACTCGACTCAACCTCAGTTATTTCCTTCCTCTGCACGACCAAACCAAAAAGGCAACCGCAAACATTTTTTTTTTTTTTTTTTTGGATTTTTCGCAACCTCAAATGTGCAAAAAAAAAAACTGACAAAAAAAGTACGAAACAATTTATGTCAACTTTCTTTTTATCAAACAAAAAGAAGGAATCAACGTGTTGCAAAACGGCAAGGGGGAAAAATTCCAAACAATTTTCAAAGCCACCGCAAAAATCTTGCACCACAGACTCCCACACAAAGTCAGGCCGTCAGGTGGGTTTTGCTGGCTCCGAACAGATGATTTAGCGACGGGTTTTTTCTCTCCACCAGTTGCAGAGCTCCGTTGCAAGAAAGTTGCCGAATCATGTACTCATGCGACTCCTTCCCCTTCCCCTTTCCCTTCCCTCGCCAAAGGCCCCGTGCCCCACCACCATGGGTACATTTTTTGGGGGAGAGTAATCGAAAAGCAGTCGATGGAGCTCTTCCTCGACGGACAGGTGACCAATAGCCACGACACTGGCCGGTTCAGTTCTTAAACTTGTTTCAATTTACTGTATTTTTACCGCTACTGTTGTTGTCACTGAAGTTGTATACCCTTTTCGAGGAGTTTTTTTGCTGTCTGGATTTTCTCGTGGCTTAAATTTGAGTTCAGCTGGTGGCATTTTGGCGCTAGGCCCCTTGGGTAAAGAGTTGTAGAAAAAATGGTAATGGAAAAATTATTAAAGTTTGCATTTTAGTATTTACCTTTAGAGAATTCTATCTGCCACATCAGAAGCTTTCCACTTATATCTTTTTTATTTATATCGGACTTTTCTCTGAGCCCGTCGTTACTTATTATGTGTTTTTTTTGTACGTTTTTATGTGGCTATAACTGTGGTTTTGGCCAGTGCCCGGTAATTACCAATGTCGGGAGCAGGAACGAGAACTGGACCGGGATTGCGATTGCGATTGGGGCACGGCAAACGAGTCGAGTCAGTTCCCCGAGTCTCCGAACATCACAAATTTGAAATCAGTTTCATTATATAAATTGTTACCTTTAGACGATGTGGCAGACAGTTTGGGCCGGAGGTTGGAGCCCTCATTGAGCCAGTTTTTTTTTGTGCTGTCTTTATTTTTCTTTTTCAGCTCTGAGCTGTGAAATATATTTCTCCTCTTTTTGGCATTCCTTTTTCATCTGAAAATTGCACATAATTTGTGATGCATAATGTCAAAGTTGGTATGGCTTTGGTGCGAAACGAATTTGATTGGGCATCCGTTGGATAGAAGTGGCTCAAAGTAACGCACTTGACTTCAATTAGACAGCGAGCACTTACCAATTGCCCGGTTTTCCCCGTTCCCCGTTCCCCAATCCCCCACCCTGACCTCTTCTCCTCTCTTTCGTCTATGCACTGGTCAAACAGCTTCCTCCTCGAAAATGGCAAACTGTGTCAGTCAGCAGCGACTTTGACTGGCATTCGTCTGCCATCCCATCGCAGTCCCTCTGGTCCCGATTTTTCCACTCCCATCTCGACTTTCCTCAGCGCCCCATTTGGTCATTTTGTTTACTTCTACACTCAGGAAAAATTGTCTTTGGAAAGCGCTTTTCCAGCTGGGATTTTGATCCTTTGTTTTCAGCTTATTTAAGCTAAAACATTGACCTTTAATTGAAGGCATGAGTCGAATGTTATTTGCTTGCTAAACTCGATGTAGGGAAAAACATTTGAGGGAGAAGTTGAGGTTTTTATACAAAAAATTGAGGTATAATAGTGAATTATTGTATTTTGTCAAGCTTTTAACAATTTTTAAAGGTCAATTTTAAATAATTGCTTATTAGTTGGACTCTTTAGTGCAGATATGCTTTCTAATGCAGATTCTTTACGACATTCACAGTTGTGCTGGTTATGGAAATATCGGATTAATTTGTTAGAAAAATCTTACTAGTTTAAAATCAAATAGATTCTGAGTGCATGTCTATGGTCAGCGGCTGTCAGTCAGCCGCCACCGTCCGTCCAGAATGCGCTCCTCCAGCCCAGATTCCGCTCCTTTGTTTGCTTCTGTGGCCCGGGTCTCTGGCTCCCTAACTGTTTGTGCTATCCCGAGTGTTGACTGACAGGTGCCGCCGGAGAATTTTGGCGCTACAAAGTGCATACATAAAAATTTTTCCAACTCTGTTGACAGTGGAACATGGCAGCGAAAGAAAAACGCCGAGGGAAAATGCACGATTTCATGGCGCTTTGTACCAAGAGGCATTAGTTAGATGAACGAGGAATGGAAACGGAACGAATATTGGCGGAGAGCTTAGATTGCTCTTTAAAACTCAGTTTAAAGTTTTCCTTTCAGAATTCGTTCAGAACATGGAGAATATAAATGTGATTATCTAATTGTTTTTTGCTAAAAAAGTCTATAGGACATCTCAATTTGAAAATTAAGTCATAAGTCCGCTCATTTCGCCTTGATCGACTTAAAAAGCACTTGTTTAATTTAAATTAATATTTTTTTGACATTCGTTCTACGTTAATATAACTCTGTAAAGTATAATGACGGTGGTGTAGAATTGACAACTACAATCCTGACTTTGGGTTTGAAACCTTACTTACACCAACGAATTCAACAACGATCTCTTTTAAAAGCTATAGCAAAGATTACAACCATTATCTTGGTTAAAGCCAGCTCAAGAACCATTGATCACTATATTTTACTCGTTTCTTACCTGTTTCAAGGAGGTTATCTGATTTCTACACAATTTTACTACCAAAATTTGACCACGTTTAATCTCATAAACTCCCTCGAACTACTTAAATAAAATTGCAACTATTTATTTACAAATGAAAACGAATAAACAAAACTAATCATGTAATTCCTTTCTCCTCAGGTCATAGCTCAAATCTGCAAAAATGGCAAAAGCGAATGGCACGACAGCGAAGACAGCAACCATGGAAGATGACTACATAACGGTAGTGGAAGTGGACGATCCCACGTCTTCCGCCGAGGATCGCCTAAAGAAGCTAGTCAAGCGGCAGAGCTCCGTGGCGGAGGACTCCTCGTTCATCACA